ATCTCTTAACTCCCTACTTTAGCATTCCAGTCCCCTATAATGAGAAGAACATCTTCCTTTGGTGTCAGTTCTAGAAGGTGTTGTAAATCTTCATAAAGGTAAAGGTAAAGGTTCCCCTTGACAATTTTTGTCCAGTCGTGTTCGACTCTAGGGGGCGGTGCTCATCCCCGTTTCCAAGCCATAGAGCCAGCGTTTTTTCCGAAGACAATCTTCCGTGGTCACATGGCCAGTGCGACTTAGACACGGAACGCTGTTACCTTCCCACCAAGGTGGTCCCTATTTATCTACTTGCATTTGCATGCTTTCGAACCGCTAGGCTGGCGGGAGCTGGGACAAGCGACGGGAGCTCACTCCGTCGCGTGGATTCGATCTTACGACTGCTTGGTCTTCTGACCCTGCAGCACAGGCTTCTGCGGTTTAGCCTGCAGCGCCACCACGTCTTCATAGAACTGGTCAATTTCAGCCTCTTCAGCGTCCATGGATGGTACATAAACTTGGATGACTGTGATGTTGAAAGGTCTACCTTGGATTTGTATTGAAATCATTCTATCATTTTTGAGATTGCATCCCAATCTCAAAATGTTCTGATATCATGTATATAACATAGAAATAATTTTAATAAATGAACAATAGAAATGTTAATTTGCTAATCGCAACAAGCTTTCTTTCTTCCAAACACACATCCAAAATCAGCATTGTGAAAAGAAAGAAATTAATATCCTTGAGAACAGTTTTCAGTCCCTGCAAATACTAACCACTGTGTCATCGTGCAATATGATTATAGTGATAGCATGTGAACCTGAAAAAGTTATACTGGGCCTTGTCCACAGTCATCCATTGTGCAGACTGCTTGTACTTTCTACCATGGAATATGTACTGAATACATAACTGCTCATTCTGTGACAACAAAAACATGCCCACAGATAGTGAAACCCACGTACCTCTTCTAAGCTGTGCAGTGAAGAAGCAGATACTGCTCGTGAACTGAGGGAGTGAAATGGTTCCTGACCAACCACATGCTGATGATTCTGTATTTGGATAAAAGGGTTCTGCTGTGATCTATGAGGCAATGGAGGTATACCATAATGAAAGCCTTGCCCCATTAGATGACTCTGGTGTAGGTTAGCATAGGTCCATGATCCATCAGGCTGCAGATATTTCACAGAAGGTGGAGTTATGTGTTCAGATGGCATTGATAAAGGGGGATTGTACATTTGAGGCAAGTGCTGCTGAAATGCTGGGTTGTTAGGTATTTCAACGTCTCTGTTCTCAGAGAAATTAGGGAAGTGGCCACTGTGGTTTGAGTTGCATGATGGAGAGGGGAGCACTGATGGGCTTCTGGACTGGACTTGTCTGTATTGCAAAAGTCTTGACTGAGGCGGTGGCATTTCAACTAGGTCCCTGCTTTCATTTTGATCACGATGTGACAGTTCTCGGAGCAAATCTTGGAACCTATGTGAATACAATAAATTCTTAATCAGGAGAGAGAAATAAGAGTAGAAAATAAATTTAGTGTACATTTTAGTTTTCAGAATGTGGACAATGATCAGGAGCATGCATACACTCCACAGAGATCAAATATATTCTGTAGGTTTTGTATTCAGAAACTATCAACAGAGAAGACTTCAGTTTTTAAAAAAACTATGCTACCTGTAACAACCAACTGGATGTACAAGCATACATGGGCCTGTATGTACATTTATGAAAGGGTTGCCGGAAGAGAAAATAAAACAAAAAGCAAAGTGCATAAGTTTACCTTTGGACTGCAGTGTGACATACTATATTAAAGCACTGGAAAAAGAGGAAACTATTACAAATCTAGGCCAGGGGTTGCAAGAAATTCCCTGTCCAACTGAAAAAGAGCAAGACCAATGGAAATATTCATAATGGAGACTATATGCTTCTCTTTTGATGAGAAGGAACTTGCTTAAAATTGTGCCAATTAAAAAAACTAGATTCAAATTTATCCTTTTCTCTGAGCTAATAAATGTGAAGTATGAAATGAAAATGTGAATCTCTGTGAAAACTCCTGCACAAGATTTTAGCCATTGTGTTTGTTTTATTATATGTGAAGCTTAAAAGTTGGAACTGCTGTTGTATCTCATCTACTAATTATAATGATTTAATCAATAGATGTCTTTATGGACGATCAAAGTCTTAATGATCTCACCATTCATGTGAAGCCATTAGGCTATTTTGAGTCCATGTGACACCCATGCCTTTAAGTGAACTTTTGAAAGAGCCTGTCAGCATATGACTACCAGATGATTCCTAGAATTAGATTTCCATGATTTTGCAAAAAACTCTTAAAGATGTCCCTTGTAGAAGGGGTGGGTTAACATTCCTAGAATTAGATTTCCATGATTTTGCCAACAACTCTTAATGATGTCACTTGTGTTATGCACATTCCTGCATAGAGTGGAAGAGAGGTCCCTCATGACACCTTCAGAGCAGGGGAGAGTGTGGATCAACGAATGATCCACTTTCCCCAGCAGAACTAGAGTGTGCTGAACCTCCACCTCTCTGCAGGCAGGCAAGACCTGGGAGGTGGAAAACCTACTCTATGGTACAGGTGGCAGCAAATATACTCTGTCAAACAACTATTCAGCAGAGCTCTTTCAGGTGGTCAAGGTCCTACTGCACAAATGCCCACAAGAAAGAGATGCTGATCACTCAACAACCTAGCATGAAGATTTTCCATGGCACTTTGCAGACAAAGTTGCTTGGATCTGCTTTGACTTAGATCCTGTAAGTCCAGTGGTCCCCAACCTTGGGCATCCAGATGTTCTTGGACTACAACTCCTAGAAGCCTTTAGCACCACCTCTGCTGGCCAGGATTTCTGGGAACTGAAGACCAAGAACATCTGGAGGCCCAAGGTTGGGGACCACTGCTGTAGTTGATGCGGGTCCTATTCATATAATAGCATCTCCTGTTGGGTTTGGAGAATAAATTTCAGTTTGTGTTGTCTAAAGATGTAGACATCTAAGTCCACATTTTTCAGACAGTGATGAAAGTGATGAAAGCCACCACATGTTTGTTTGCTGGATCCTTGCCCTTCCTAGCTTATAAAAGCAGTTAAGAGAGAAGTGGCTGAGTGGATAAGAGGAATGGTGAATGTCTCCTTGCAGCAAGGCAGGGTACCAACTTGCTTAAAGGGACAGTAGCAAGACCTTTGTTAATAATGCCCTCCTTGGTTTTCACTCAATTGGATAATTGTTGGCCATGTCCAACATTCAGTTTCTGGGCAAGGTTTTGGGTGGGTTCGTGGATGAAGCAGATTGAATAGACCCACTTCTGTGATGGAACCCCCACCCATTTTACCCAGTAACAACATAAATAAGTTGATTGGCTGGAAGAAGGCAGGAAGAGAGCTGATCCAGAAGAAAAGGAGGTCTAAAAAGAATTGCTGAACAGAAGGAGGAGAGAAGAGTTAAATTGTATCTGGGATGAGGGAGATTATATTTTAGGAGTGGGCTAGAACAGGGGTATCCAACCTTTCACCTTCCCTGGGCCACATTAGAAGATGAAAAGTTCGTTTGGGCTGCACATACATTTGGTTTGGGCCGCATGGGGGGGGGCAGCCCTAGCCGTCTTCCGCAGGCCCGCTCCAAGCGCGCTTACCAGCAGCTGCAATCTCAGACACCAGAGGCTGCCAGCTTCGACTCCGGGGCGCCTTTATGGGGCCGGGAGGGGCCTTCCATCCCTCTCCCCCCTCCCACCGTTGTGAAGTGCCCCAGCCGCATTCCGGCCGCAAGTGCTGGCAGTGTAACTTGAAACTTTGGAATTTCTCTTAAAATAAAAAATTGCACTGGGCCGCATTATGAGCTGACCTGGACCGCATGCAGCCCTCCGGCTGCAGGTTGGACAAGCCTGGGCTAGAACTTGGGAGAATTACTTTGTATCTGAAGAGGGAGGTTGGATGCTTAAAAGCTAACGGTTAACACAGTGTAACCTGATGTTGAACTCTGTTTAGTTTCACCAATTTTTATGTTTCAATAAAGACTGTATTTTTATGTTTCAATCTTAAAGCCACTTGGGCTCCTATATTTTAGGCTTAAGGCAAGCCTATTAAAAGTAAGGGCAGTTTAAATGTGATTCACCAGGTAGAGGTGGTCACAATTTCAGTCTGGCTTCTTGCCTGGTTATGACAGAGACTGCTTTGGCCGCATTGGAGAATGGATGAATGCTGGAAACTGGACAGGGGGAGTTTGACCCTGATGGTTCTGCCAGACATCCTAGACATTATCAATACTATCAACCATGGTATCCTTCTCTGTCACCTTTCTGGGATAGGTCTTGGAAGCACAGTTTTTACACCAGTTCCAATCCTTCCTAGAGGGCCAAACTCAGAAGGCAGTGTTGGGAGAATCCTGTTTAACACTCTGATCACTGGCTTGTGGGGTTCCCCACCATTCAGTTCTGTCCCATATGCTTTTTAACACCCACATGGAACCAATGGGAGAAGATGTCTGGAATTTTGGGTTCAGTGCAATCAAAATGCTGATGATATACAACTCTCTATTTTCCATCTGGTTCCAAGGAAGTTGTTCATGACCTAGATTATTGACTGTTATCAGTAATGGACCAGATGAGGACAAAGAAACTGAAACGTAATGCAGGCAAGACAGAGGCACTCCTGGTCAATCAGGTTCTTTAGTGTTCTTTCTGATGGTGTTTTAAATGGCAATTCCAATATAGTTTTAACTGATTGTAAGCCACCTGGAGTCATCTAGAGTGGTCCGGTGGGCCAGATAGGCGGGGTATAAATTAAATAAATAAATAAATAAATAAATAATCTATAGGGGGAAAGGTGGCATCATGATAAAATAAATAAATGCCTCTATTTGAAATGAACCGTAATTCAGTTGTGTTACAACAATAATATATTATAGCTGTAATTATGATTTCTATGTTTGTTTTCTGAAACATCTAAACTTCATGCATGGTATAAAACACTGAGATGCAAATAAACTGACAATGACAATAGCATTACAATATGTTCTGTTTTTATCTAAATGTCATATACTTAGAAAATTATTTCAAATTTACCTTGAATATGTTGCCTCAGGTTCATCTTCCACATTGCTGGCAAGTTTCCAGTTTGCCCTAACTGGCTGCTGATGCAATCCAATTGGCTGCTGAGAAAGGTGGGATAAGTGAGGGTGGTGATGGTGAGAATAAGGAATATTGCCCTGACTGAGATAGGCGTTATGCTCATTCCACTGTTGCAGTCTTGCTTGCTGTTGCCTTAAGGTTTCCAAAGCTAAATTTCCATGAATACGATCTGTAAAACATTTTTTGGGGAAAAATTACCCAGCTTCTGTATTTAAGATTTTTTTTGTCACAGTATCATATGGTATCTGTATAAGCAACATTAAACACTTGTGTTATTAGATTTATGTCTTGTACCTGTGACCCACCTTTATCCTACAGACATCTCAGCATATATAACTGAAAATCTACATCCCTGCTATACAGTAGCCATTTGAAAGAGTTTTACTAATAGTAATTTTAAAGATAGTTTTACTAACGCATTCAACAGAACAGGAACTAACATCTTTCTATTATTTTTCCAGAAATCTCTTATAGTTCAGGCTTCAGATTTCCAACTGAAAACTATTTGTTTATTAAGCCAGAAACATGCACCAGGTCTTTGCATTCCTCCTCCTCCTCCTCTTCTCACACTTCCTCTTGTCATGCATCAGTGGAAGCACTTGGACCTGGATCTCATTAAATCATAGTTTCCTGTGGGACCATGGTTTAATGCCGATTTTATAAGACAAATGGCAAACCATGGTTGATCCTGGTTATGAAATCACAATTGTATTCTGAATGCACTGTGTAACTGTAACTGAATTTGATCAAGATCACAGCCTGCAAATCAGAATAAGGGGAAAGAAAGGGGAGTGAGGCAGACCCAGTGATTAACCATACACTGAAAAAACAGTTTAACAATTAGCAGAACAATTTGACAGCAATAGACACAACAAAGCAGCCATTAAATAGTAAAATGGCGAAGAAAATATATTTTCAAAAGATGAAAACATGCTTATTTAAATATAGCCACAAAAATCAATTGAAAGGAAAGTAACCACTTATGGCCCAAATATTTAAAGAGGTTTTGATCATCCTGTGGAAAGCCATTTGGGAGCTCCAAAGCAAATGAAAACGTAAACAAATGAAAATATGTATCTCTATTTGCTTGTCTCATGGCTTTTTAATTATTATTCCAAATCTGGACCATCGGCTGCATGCAACACCCTCCCTAGAGACCGAAGTGTGAGGAGTCCCTCATGCACCTGACTCCAAATAATTGTCATCATCTCCAAAAGCCTAAAAAAGCTAGGGAGAGAGATATGATGAAACTGTCTTCATATGCCCCCTGAAGGGCACACGGGGCCTTTCTGAGCAACTTTTGAGTTTTTAATAGGATGCCAGGGGCACAACAATCAGACTTCTTCTGCCCACCGTGGCCTATCATACCAGAAAAACAGTACCAAAAGTTTCAGAAACAAAAAGCAAAACAAAAGAGCGTGCTGCTTCTATACTGGCCCAACAGTGCTTAAAAGCACTCTCTGGGCGGTTTACAAGTTAATTATGCAGGCTACATATAACAAATAACACGAGCAAATTCAGTCTTGAAATGCACTATCTCATTAAAAAAAAAACTAATGTAATTTAGGATAACTGCCCTGCATTCCTATCCAGGCAAAGTGGTAATGACACTTACCCAATGATTCTCCTACAGGCATTCCTGGAGGACTCTCTTCAACAAAGTGGTTCAAGTGGGATGACATCATTGGGTTGGGTTGTGCAATGGGCCTTAAAGGGTTGCTGACTTCTTGTAACAGAGATGGGTGATGCTGCTCTGAAATCACAGCTTCTGCACCAGGAGAGTGAGGTCTTTGTGGAACCGGATTTTTAAAGAACGATTGGTTGGGGCCTGTTTGATAGGCAGGAGAAAGCAGGGAGGGTGGTTGTTGTGGCTGCTGGCTTAAATGATTATGCTGCTGGACTATCTGGCTTTGCTGTGGGTGCATTTGGTTTTGCTGTTCAGACAAATGATTCTGTTGCTGACTTAAGAGGTTTTGCTGCGGTGGTGCGGAGTATGGCTGTCTTGGAATTTGGGAGAGATGCTGGAAGTGGCGATTGGGAACAACATACTGGGCATGGGGAGGGGTGAGGTGAAGGTTCAGTTGCCTGGGATTCAGATTATCTTTGCGATGAAATTTAGGATTAGAATAAGCAGTGCTGGCACGTGATTCCGGGCTTCTATTTTGGGAATTTGCTTCTAAATCCACCTGAAGAAAATTACACAAATTAAGAAAACAAAGTCAACATAATTCTTGTAAGATACAAGTGTACCAAGCAAACTACTATACTTTAACACTGAATCAAGTATTTGATATCTAAAGAATGCGCGAAGAACAAGGTCATGAGTGAAGAAAAAGTGTTGTTTGCCTTAGATATATTATCTTCTATACCCATAACTGAAAACAATTTTTACTGATGGACATGAAATGTACTCTACACAACTTCAAGCTATTTCTGTGAATCTGAACATTTTTCCCAACCAAAAACTATCTTGAGAATTATAAGTTACAAAGACCATGACAGCTGCAAATTTACCTTTCTGTTCTAAAAAGCACAATTCATTTCATGGACTGCTATGATGACACAAGACTTAGCAATTGCTTAGTCTCAAGTAACATGTCTCAAGTAAAGTGTTTTTTTAACATGAAAAAAGACACCAAATATTTAATGAAAATGCCTTTGTTTGCAAAGCTTTAACGACTTGCTTTCTGCACCAAAAAGTGAATTCTCCTATTTGAAAATATGCTTCCTTAAAATACTCAATTTTATTGCAATTTTTCATACTTGTGTTAATATTTTATTTTCTGTATACACTGGAAAGTGAGTTAAAATGTTTAGACATATTGACTAAAATCCTGTTGCTTAGTGTAGCGTAGTAAGTCATACTAGACAAGGCCCATTGAATCAGTGGGGATTTGGCAGGTCAACTCCTCTGTAAATTCCAATGATTCAAATTGTCCTACTCTAGTTGCAATTTATTTTAGCATAGTGCTTCACGAATGAGTAGGCTCATTCGAATCGATGGAACTTATGGAGGAACTGCCTCACCAAATCCCCATCGATTCAATGTGCCAACTCTGTTTGAGCTGTAATGCCAATAAAGGTTTATTATTACTAAGCAATAGGATTTCAGGCATTACATCTGAAATCAGTAACAAGCTCTTTTCACAGTTCAGCCAAAGCAAATCTCACAGACAGTTAGACAAGTCCAGGGAATCTTAAAATAACTACGTACATGAATACCCAGGGTCCCAAATTTCAAATTAACTTACACAAAACTAGAATTAAAGAATAAATGGTGGCAAGAAGAATTCAACATTGCCAAGCATCATTTTTGTCTTTATAATCACTATTAGAGAGCTAGCTTCATCAAACAGTGTTTGACAGGGCAGTTCCAGCAAATTCTAAAGAGTTGCCTAACCTAGCCTTTATTGTTTGAAACCATGACCTATCTGATGTGAAATCTGTCAGGTACTCAGGTGTGAAAGGAAAATCCTACAGCACTCTGCTGTTCACTCTTCAGTGTACTAGATGCACCACTGAAGAGGGAGGCACCACTTATTGGGCCACTCACTGAAAATGTTGGTTCCAACCTTCTGCCTAGCTGTTCTCTGAGTACTGGAGCCCAACACCTACTATTGTTATTGCCCCGCAAGGCTTCAAGGACCACAAAACAATGCTGCTCAAGCACCTAGGCTTGGAAAACACTGCAGGGAAATGTCCACCTGCCAACATTACAGAAATGCAGCCGAAGGGTCTACCAAAGGAAGTGTGATGTTGCAAGGGTCCCACCCAAGAGAAGGCGCCACTGAGAGCTCCACCAAACCCGGCACTGGCCTTGATCAAGTGACTACTTTATAGTATTTTCCTAAGTTCTGTAGTGAACTCTTGTAGACTTATCTTTAGCCATCTATAGTATATGAGCCGTTATCTATTTCAGATTAATTACATTTAAGTAATTAAATGTGGTTTTTACATATAAGAGAAGAGAGAGAAATAAAGAATTTATACCTGCTTGGCTTCTAATGGCTTTTTCTCCGGTGTCCGAATTTTATTGATTTCAGGCCCAGCAGAAGGTTCATTTTTGCCTAAATATATAAAGAATTTTACTTACTTTTTTAAAAGAGCACACATTTCCCTAAATGATATCTATTCACAGATCCAACAATGAATTATTAAAGAATAGTAGTATTTATCTTCTCCTGCTGCACATTTACAGGGTATTTACTTTTGTCATGAAATAGCGGTTAGTGGCATTAATATCCTATAGTGCCACAAATGACTCAGCACTTAGATACCTAGCTGTGTTATGCACAAGGGTGGGAATCCAATGTAGCTTCCAGTTGTGCAACTAGCTGCAGAATCAGCTATACTAGTTGTTGTGTGATACCTTGCAAAACCACCTGCTAAAGGGACCACAAGTATAAGTGTGTTACTGCTTCAACAGCTGGAGAACTAAAAGAACTCTGCTGGGACACAGTTTTCCTCTGCTAATGTTATGTGGGATTTAAGCCCTTGAGGAAGCAATCCTAATTAGTCAAGATGTTTGAGGGCTGGCGGAGCTGACACTGAGTCTGTCAAAGCTGTGCTTGTTTCCAAGCCCCTCCTAGCCTAGGAATATTGGAAATTACTTTGATACACCCTGATCCTAGCCCCACTTTGTGACAGCATAATAACTGGGCGTTTGGGCTAGCGTCACTCAGCTTCTGCCTATCCCAAGCTCACTACAGCAGGTACACCTTTGAGTTTGGATTTCACTGTTGACCTAACATGTTCACTTTTCAACCTTATTAGTAGAAAGAAAAAGAAAAAGAAAAATATCCTAAATTATTGTAGGAGAGAACTCAAAAGAAACTGCCTCAATATAAAACACCCTTACCTTTATTTAAAAAATAGCACTTCAGAAAATATGTATCTTTCGTAAGAAATTATAGAGTTGCAGGGAGTGATTGGTTTTTTTTTTTAATTGTGAATGGAACGAAAATCTAAGAAGATTCTCAGGATCATTGGAAAGATTTTTAGGCACATTTACCATAAAAGCAGTATTTCAAATGAACAGCTGTGACAGAGGATTTCACATGGTTGTACTGAAATGTACCAACCTGGAACGCAGATGCTTATTTTTAATTGCTTGGTTTTGAAATCTTCACCCAATAAGCCTCTTGCACCTGCACACAACCTCTCCATTCCTCTTTTAGTGCCACAGCAGATCAGGAAACCACTTTTAACCATACTTTCTGTAACATCTGAACTGGGAAATTATTAAATCATTTGCAAACAGGCAGCACCATGAAGCCACGTTGCAAAGTAAGCCTCCATATTCTGGCTTCCTAAGAAGCCTAATCACAGCTCCTACTTCAACACAACCATTTAATGTACCCAAGAGCATAAGCAAATGGCATTCACAAATCATTGCATAGATTCATATGGAAAGAGAGGAGCACCAGGTGGTCTGATGGTGCTGGAGCAAATTGTAAAGGATCTCCTACTGTAATCTATTTTTAAAGACACCTTCAACTGAGTTGTCAATTTCTTTGGCAAAGCTGCATTCCAAATCCATATCACACTTAATAATGTGGAAGCAACACATATTAATTCCTTATGCAAAGAAGTGATGGTTTTAAAATGAGACCATTGGTGACAAAGTATGCAAACAACTTCTCCTCTCACTAGTGCCATAGTAAACATGAGTTTTTTAAGAAAGGGTAAAATTATTATTCGGTGTAAGGTTCCCCCCTCCCCAGGGAGAAAGGGGAAAGCAAATACTTTTCTTCTTCTCTATACTTCAGTACTATACTTGACTCCACCAATCCTTCGTTCTATGACACCACAGATCTAATAAGGAAATGTAAGATAAGTATAGTACCAGTATATATGGATAAAATAAAATAAAAATATGGTTTGTTTTGTTGTTATTCCTGATTAGACACGGGGATGAATAAATTACAGTGGAGGAGCATCAGCGGGGGTGGCGGTGAGGTATGGGGGGGGTCAGGTGTTTTTTTTTAGTAACCTCCCACAAATCGACAAATAAATTCATGCTTCGTTGGTTCATGGGGGCAGCTTCATGAACTTTTGATCACTCACAAAGCAGGACAACTCACCAAAATGGTGAGTCTTCCACATCTCTATTCCTGACACTAAAAGTACTCCATCAGTAAAAAAGTACCTTTTTTTTGCTCATTGCCAGTAGTCATATTTTCCAGTTAATTTGGAATGTCTCTCCAAATATCTAAGAACATCCAAAAGAATACAGTAGTGCCTCGCTTTACGATTGCCCCGCATTACGACGAATCCACTTTGTGACGATCTTTTTGCGATCGCAATTGCAATCGCAAAACGATTGTCTAAATGGGGGAATTTTGCTTTGCAATGATCGGTTCCCTGCTTCGGGAACCGATTCTTCGCAAAATGACATTTTTTGAACAGCTGCTCGGCGGTTTCAAAATGGCCACCGGGTAAATAAAATGGCTCCCCGCTGTGTTTAGGGACGGATTCCTTGCTATACAGGCAGCGAAAATGGCCGCCATATGGAGGATCTTTGCTGGATGGGGAATTTTAAGCCCATTGGAATGCACTGAAAGGTTTCAATGGGCTTTTTTAATTTTCGCTTTACGATGTTTTTGCTTAACGGCGATTTTCCTGGAACGGATTATCGCCGTTAAGCGAGACACCACTGTATCCTAGCCCTAACGAGGGCCCTTAGTACTGAAACAGAAAAACAAAAGAACAAAAACCAGGATAATCACTTTTACTGCTTTTTCCATACTTTGTGAAAACAAATGCATGTAGGTAGATGCCAGGAAATGGACAACAATATAGGTCTATGTTATGAAGGAATGACGTATATATACCAAGAAGGCTGTTCATTTTTGCTTTCTGACTGATCCATGCTTTCCAATATCTGTGTCTATAATCATTGTCCAGCCATTTCCTTACAAGAGTAGAAAAATAAATAGAGCAACAGCTCTCAGTAGATATAAAAATGACATAAAGGATATGTCAGGCAATAAGATGCTAAGTAAATTACACCTTTGCTTGGTCACGGATAAAAGGATCTTTGAAAACTGTGAAGACAAAATGCTACAAAACCTTACCTATAAAAACCTCATACTTGTGGCTCTACCAATACTTTTCATTCATGTATCAGAAGGCAGCTCACATTTCAGCCTCCAAAGTTCAGAGCCAAGAAATCATCTTAAGAAATGAATGTGTTTTCATACACTATTATCCAAAGCACAGAACTCTTTACAAGTAAGTGACTGTGAAAATATTGTGTATTTTCTTTCTCAGTGTTAAAGCCATTGGAGCCAGAGGTTTATGCTAATCTGGAAGTATGTCATTATTTGTCTGTGTTCCAACTCAGGGAGGAAGAGGAAACAATACTGACTTTAAATTTCCCTTAATTTCACTGAAAATTGCATCGCGGTCACAAGCATAATAGGAACTTCATGTGTTGTTCTTCAATCATCATATATTGAAGGATTAAACTAGGGTCACTGATTGACTTCCTCTACAATCATACATTGTACTTCGGTCACTGATTGGCTTCTTTCAGCAGTCATGCACTGCAGGGAATATGCTGCATCAAGAAAAGTATTAAATAGGTCATGTACCTAGTTCACCTTTCCTAATGCTTTGAACTTCATACTATGCACTTTCTAACACTATTCCTTAAGCATTCATACATCGTTCTGCACAGAAATGTTGCAGGGGTGTCTTTCTTGTGTTCATGAACAGGATTACAGATCTCTGAAAGTTTCTGTTCCCCAAATCAGGATCAGACAATGTTAATATGTGAATATCCACCTATTTTCTTCAAGAAATAATGCTCATATGATCACTTACTGGAAATGCAGGCTTAGGCACAAAACTGAAATAAAAAAAATAGGAGTCTTTTCAGACTAAGTTCTGAACCTAAGATTCTGCTGAATTGAGGGGTTTCTAACAGAAGGCAAGAAAAGCAAGCCACCCAGTATTCATAGCAAAAAAGTAACTATGTGATACAATACATTTAAGTTGCATTTTATTTAGGCTATTGCTGTTTGTCACAAATGCTATGAAATTTAACTCATTGTTGTTTACTATTTTTGAGTCAGAAGACAATCCAGGAAATTGATGTAGATGAGTAAAGTAACAAATGTTTAAAAACATCAACCTACTCTTTAGCACTTCCTTTCTTTCCCATTTATTTAAATTATATATTAAATGTTCTTGTTCTTCTTTTGGATGCCTGTGATTTTTAGCGAAAGGATACCTGAGTCTTTCTTTAACAAAGATATCTATGAGATGATGACTGCTCAAGAATCAAAATTGAACTTACACATGACATCCCTCACAATGGCCATGATATTGTAAGTTGACTTGAATACAGGATAAACCATGGTTTAACATGGCAGGAATGAGTTTACTCTTCTCTCATTGTCTGGCAAACTGTAAGAATTTAGAAGTTTTCACTAATGTTCTTGATCAATTGAACAAATTGTGGTGAATCTTAATTGTGGTTAGTTTAAAACAAGACATGAGTAATGAAATTGGTTTGTAGTTCAGGGTTTTAACAACATGCTAAATTGTGGCTAATCAGAACTAGTAGTGAAAGATGCAAACTCTACCTTATGGTAGAGAATGAGAAAATTAAATGGGAAGTAGTAAGCACTGGGGTCCATTCAGATGCAAGGACCAAGATGTAAACTTATAAATCTCAAGAGAGCTAGAGAACACTTGATAAATACAAAGACTCTGCTCTTCTAGAATCTTTGTAAAATTAGCCGTCTGCATTTTATTCAGAATTTCACTAAAAAGCCAAAACCAAAAGCAAAGTGTATTGTTATATACCACCCCATAGTGCTTAAAGCACTCTTTGGTGGTTTTCAAGTTAATTATGCATACTACACATTGTTCCGCCCCCCTCCCATGAGCTGGGTACTCAATTCACCAGCCTTAGAATGGAAGGCTGCGTGAACCTCAAGCCAGCAATCTTGGATTGAATCCGGATCATGAGCAGAGTTTTGGCTCCAGTACTGCATTTTAACCAATGTACCATGAAGCTCCTTTCGGTTTTTTCAAAGTTCACAGCAGTAAATTTCATTTACATGCAGCTGAATTGCTCATCCTCTATCCGTGGTGTTACATTATGTAAATAAAAGATAGATCTGGTTTTGTGTGAAAACAGGTTATTTTATAATAAACTGGAAATATTTAACACTTTACATGGAGACACAGAAGAAAACCTATTTAACTGAATTTCTCAGGATTTCATTCACTTGTTATTTAAAGTTCTGAAAACTAAATCCCTATCCAAATGTATTTTTCTGGCGTATTCTGCTCTTTTCCATTATTGAGATTACTAAGGGAGAAATTCAGTCTGGCATGCCACGTTTGTGGAATTATCCTAGATTTCATGAATTTAAATAAGTTTCTTCTCATGATTATATCCATGAACTAGTTAAAAGTCCAATTAAGTTTTGAATAACAACATTGTAAGTGACAGCTCATATGTCTACAGTATTGGGAAACTACAAGAAGCTTCTCAGATATGTACGTCAGCACCTCAAGCTCTCAACACATGGATAACTCTGCTTTTCACAGAGTTAATGAGGCAGATTTTTGAACTGCATTGCTTTAAGCAGAGTCATTCTAATACCACAAATGGAATGAGACCAATTTCACTTTTCACTTTTGATACACAAACCAGTCCTTCATCATTTAAAAAAAAAACACCTCACCTTGCTCTGAAATAGATTTTATGCTAATAACATTATGGAGCTCAATGCTTTTTGTTGTTATGCAATTTCCAAATGTCTTCTACAGTCCATTGCTATTGTGGCACACATGGGGCCTCTGATGCCCTGAAGTACGTTCATGAGGAAAAGGGATGCTATATTTTTTTCAGATTTAGATAAAGTGTACACCGTCAGAAAACACTCCCATAGCTCATATGATCAATTCTTCAGCTCAAGGGATAATGTGCCTCCTATACGTCTCAGAGCATTTAACATCACTGACTGTTGTGCCCTTCAGGACTGTTCTCACTGATAAGGGACTCGGGAACACCATTTTGTGATGCATCCATTTATTTGCCTGAATATTTCCAGAATATGATCCCTGGGGACTGTTGTTTGGCTTCACAGCCATTGGGCTTATAAGATTCATCAAGGCTGAAAGTGTCCCCCTATGCTCTGCAATGTTTCCATGAAGCTACTGAAGGAGGTCATCTAGAGTTTGGGGCATGGGTCTCATTACTTACATTGAGGATGTCCAGTTCTCTCTCTCTCTTTTCCAACTGATGGCAAACACAATGTGGAAACCCTGAACTGTTTACTGGATGCAGTGGAGGATTAGATCTGAGTCAATAGACAATCTAGACAAGGCTACAATTTTGTTGGCTAGATGAAAAGCCAACATGTAATTTGCTCTTTTACAGCAGGAAGTCCCACCCCTATAGGGGTTATACTCCCTCTAAAATACTACATTCACAGACAAAATATAATCTTAGATTTGGCACTGCTTCTTAGAAGTCCAGGTGACCACTGTATGTCCGATGTGCATCTCCTTCAGGAAAGCTACAGTGATTCATGTCGTAATCACCTCTTCACTGTACTGCTGAAATATACATGGGATTGTCCTTGGAAAGTGCCTAGAAAGTACAACTAAGGCAAAATGTTTGTTATCGATCCTGAACCAATTGTACTGGCTTTTACCGTATTTTACGCACCATAAGACGCACTTTTTTCCCACAAAACAGGGGGGTGGAAAGTCTGTGTGTCTTATGGAGCGAAGAAAACAGATTAAATTTTCCTGTTTTCTTCTCCTAAAAAATTGGTACGTCTTATGGAAAGGTGCGTCTTATGGAGTGAAAAATACGGTAATTCACTTCCATGGTCAGTGCAAGGTGCAAGCTTTGACATACAAAGCCCTAAACAAACCTGTGGCCAGGATATATGACCTCCTGCCTAACTCATTGGTTCCAAAAATAATGGTGCTGGAGAAGAGTAAAGCACTGCATTGCCCAAGAAAGCTATAACCTGGCAATCATTTCATTGAAAGACATACCAGTAAAGGGCACACAGCACAAACAGGCTTAGAGACTGAGAAAGGGTGCCTACATCTGAAATTGTCAAAATAAAAAATTCTATTAAACATTTTTATAATGGGATGCACTGATTTTTGTATACAAAATAAATGAACAAATATATTCCTGAAAGAAATGTCCCGCTCAAAAATAATAATAATAAAACCAAAATATATAGCCACTCACTGTTTCGATTTTGTTCAAGTTGTTCTTTATCTAAATGCTGAAGCTGCTGCTGCTGTGCTATGCTAACTGGTGAATGATGTCCAAGACCGTAGGGTATAGGAGATCCACGTCCATGTGCTTGTAGCAGATTCACATTATATGCCATGGCTGCTTGATGAGTAATGATTCGAGGATCTACTGCAAACCTACTCTGATACCCTGTCCACGGTACCTAGATAATAATAATAAAAAATGAACCATATGACCTACAGTTTTTAAAGATGCAGTTTTTAAAAGCATACTGTGCTAATGAAAACAAAATATTTATCCAGTGCCATGAAACTACATGCAAAAGGAGGAGTGGTGTTACTTTGAGTAGTAATGAAAAGGAATATAGTGCATGATTCGTAAATGACAAACTTCCAGGTTACCCCCTCAAAAACCATGATCCCTTGACCTAGCCTATCACATCTGGTACTCTGAAGATGAACAAATACATGAAAGAAAGCAAAAGTGTCAGCAAAGCTAGCACAAAAAGTCTCCCAACAGGATGGAGACTGTGAAATCATGGAGATAAATTGCAAAGAGACAGTGGAAATTCAGCTTTCTATAAAAAGACTAGAAATCATTTGAACAAGCAGCTGAATAAAAAACAGGTAGGGGTCTGGAAACGATATAGATTGTCCTCAGATTTCATTGTGCTATTTTCTCATAAAGAGAGGAAGGCAAGGAGATGTATTTCAAAAGAGAAAGAGGAACATTTCTATGACAGAAATCTGAGAACAGTGTGCGCACTACTGGGAAAGGTGTAAAGCAAAACAATAAAAGTAAAGGATGTTCCAGTAAATCTTTTCATCATTTTAACATCTCAATTTTATGACAGCTTACTGAGTTCACATAGAAACTTAACAGACAACTACTTAGTTGTGTGAATCTACCCATATTCCAAGATTAAGGCCTAAGGTTAAATGTTTAAGAAAAGCTTGGATTAAATCCTTCAAAAATTTCACTGATGCTAACAGAGGCAGCCAAGTGGCTGCAGTTGGATGGACGCTTCTGTGACTATGACAGATCATGACTTTTGTAACTGCAAACTCTTCTCCAGGATGCTTACTTATTCCTCAGAGACACAGTTAATTTCTTGAATGCCAAAAAGGAAAAAACAAAACACACAGCTCTTGAAATACACTAATTTTCCTTCTACTACCTACAAACCAGAAAGCTCTGAAGAAATGCAATGTACACTTCATACATAGATATTGTTTATATGACTGTTTATATACAGTCATATAAACAACAGGAGTGTAGCAACAAAAGAAAAGCAGAACAAGTAAAGCTCCACATTAAATTAACGTTTCCACTAGAAAAGCTACAAATGTACTTTAGGCATAAATAAACCTGCTGTAAGTAGGGGATTAGATTAGGGCACAAGTGTGTAACACGTTTAGCATGAAGTTCATATAAGGAGCTGGAGAGAAACCGCTGATCCAGATGTTTAAACTGCAAAGAATCAATGTATTTTTTTTTTCAATCGAAAGAGTAGATGCATGTCAATTCAGGGCTCTGAACCACCCCCACAAAGGATGTTTGGGCCAGATCAACTAGAACTGATTGCCCACATTCCTGCCTAGTCTCCCCAGCAGAGCAGCTTCAAGAACTCATTGTTTCACAGGCAGTTTCCCTGTCTCTCACTTCTATGTATCCTGTTCTACTTGCTTCTTTAAGCAACTAGGAGGATATCCTTGTCTTGCTGGCCCTCACTTACCATGGTGACCAAGGGCCCAACCCTTCTAAACCAACATGCAGAACACGTAGTTGCACTCTATACAAGCAGGACTCAGCACTGGGGATGTACATTATTTGTACTACAAATCCTAAATGCATTGGTGTGAAAACCTCATTTTCTTCACTCCACTTTAGTTTTGCCAACTCTAGTCTATAGCCTGTAAAATGACTTCCAAGTAACCCAGTTCGTCATGTAACTGGGGGCTAGACTCTCCAGGTTGGACCTGTTTTAAGACGTGAGTACTGTACAGTGGTGCTTCGCTTTACGAAGCATAATTTCAAGTCACCAATTAACCAGAATTCTCAGCCATTTTGTGTAAACAACTGGGCTGAATTTAAAAAATGCTACGTTTGCTTTATTCAATAAAACTAGCCACAATAAAGGATGTTGTTGTTAGCCCTGGATTTTGGAACTCCAGTGCTGAATACAGATGGGCATGAGATGCAGTTCAGCAGTTTGGCCCAGTCCAGCAGGGCACCTGCACAGGTGCTCGACAGGCTCTGCACATTCCCCTCTCCCACCTCTTCTGCGTGCTTGCCCATTCCCTGCCTCCTCAGAGTGATGGCCCATTCACTGATTGCAGCATGAATTTCCCTTCTCCGCCTCCTTTGCTGGCCACTTACTCAGATGAGGAGGTGAGCCTTTGAGTGAGCAGCTGCCAGAGGTGGTGGAGGAGAGTGTGTGTGCTGCAATTGGTGAGCTGGCAATTGAACTGAGGAGATGGGGGAGGGAAGTGTACTTCATCCGGGGAATGGGCGAGCACACAAAGGAGGCAGGAGAAGAGTGTGTGCAGCGCCCATAGAATACCTGTGAAGGTGCTACACCGAACTGGGCCGAACTGCAGTTTGTGCCCACCTCTAGTGCTGAAGTGAGAGTAGCATCTTTTTTTTATTGATGGCAATAACAAAACGATTGGTGGACTGCGGGTTCCAATGCTGCCCTAAGTTGCCCACCACTGATTCTTGCTGCTCCAAGTTCTAATATTTCTAAATCTCCACTGAATAAGATGAAGAAAGGGTAAATTATCAATAAGAAGCTATTTCAAAGAGAAGAGGATATTTTAAAAAAGAAGAGTCTACTTACTGGCAAAGGCACAGACATGACCATATTTCCTCCGTAAACAGCAGGTACATAAAGAATGCTTGTCCCAGTGTGAGGATCTATTCTCTGAACAGGACTAGGAGATTTCCCAAGATTCGGGTGAGGCCCAGGTGGAGGGGGTGGTGGTGGAGGAGGAGTATATGCTCTTATAGGGTTTCCAATTAAAACAGAAGGATTGGGTTGGACTGGAAAATAAAAATAAACATTGATATGACAGCCATGGCAGGACTTCTAAATGTAAGTTCATTTCCCAAATATTTTCTAGAACAAGACTTGCTACAACTGGAACTGTGTTTGAGATAAATTTCACACATCAGCACAGTCTATATTTTGTCATGGATACCTAAGGTGGTGTAGTGGATAGAGTGATGACCAGGACTCAGCCATGGAAACTCCTTGGGGAAGGGATGGCTCTGGTAAAACCACTCCTTAAATATCTCACTTACCTTGAAAGCCCTATTAAGGTCACTGTAAGTTGGTTCTAACCTGAGGGCACATAACAACAACAAGAAATTTTCTCACATGTACAAAGTCACACGGGGCCATTTTCATTACTATATGAAAAGCTTCAATCAAGAAGCTTGTGATTCGGGTTGGAGAACATGGGGCCTTTCCAATGTTTTTGAAATACAATTCCAGCCAGCATAATACAGCAAAGTCAGTGATAAGAAACAATGGGACCTGCAGTCCAATAATATCTAGAAGGTCATACATTCCATATGCTTCTCTTAGATGATGCTTGAAGTCAGAGCAATGTCTGCCAATCGGTTTCCGGGCACAAGTGCTGGTTTTAACCTCCCATTATGAGTCAGCTCAGGTGTTAAAATCATCAGGAGTGTCTTTTCTCACAGTCCCACCACCTTCATAAGTGGCTCTGATGGGGACAACAGAGAAAGCCTTGTCTGCTGTTTTCCCCAAACTTTGGAAGTCCCTCCCGCAGGAGGCCAGGCTGGCCCCATCTTTGCTATCCATCCACAGGCAGGGAAAGACCTCTCTCTTCAGGCAAACCTTCCCTCAGTAACTAGCTACCTGTGTGTGATGTTTAGATACATTGCTATGCATTACTGCTTTGACTGGAATTTTAGTACTACTCGTGTTTCCGTTCTTGTGTTTTCTATTTCTTAGAGGGGCATTTAAAAAAAATATTTGTATACTTTCTAATCTCTGCCTTAATATTGCCTGTTATTGATATAAGATGCCTCTTAACTCATTGTTTGTAGTTTTTAATACTGTCTTTTAACTACTATTATATACTCATTGTTTTCAACTTTAAATATTGCCTTTCATTTTTGTAAGCTGCCTTGGGTACTTTTCAAGAAGATACAAACAAACAAATAAATATTAACCAAGTTTAAATAAGATTATCAGTTTAGCACTTTATTAAGTACTTACCAATCCCATCAGTCTGGAAATGGTCATTCTGGTTATGATGATGGCCTTTCACCTTTTTTTTAAAAAAGGGAATTCAAGTTAAAATCATTCCATCTATACATTTCATAGAAAATGAGTTCAAATCAACAGAGTCTAAACTATTCTTCTTCAGAAGAAATTATTCACCATAAAAGGCAACCTTGTTAGAGAAACTAGAGATACATCGCCAAAATGGCACATGGAACACTGACAGTTCTGTGAGAACTGAGCCTTCTCAATGACCAATGATGGCTCTCAAAGCAAGTTCCTGCTTCAACTCCTATATATACCTCTACCCTGACATTGCCACTTTGCTCATGGATGGGGAGTGATAGCAGTGCCTCCCAATATTGCACTTGCCTCAGGTCCCCATAACTGCATCATAGCTTGATGCTGGCCAACTGGGGATGGGGTGGCAAACCAAGAAGGAAGGATATGGAGCAGAATACATATGCTGAACAGAGATAACATGGCACTGGATACTGAATAGGAGCATTTGTTAGAGATCCCACTTGTATACACTAACAGCAGTCTTGTTTTATAATAACATTTACACCTTTAAATACATTTATTCTCAGGGTATGAGTGTATGTGTTTTTTCTTTAACCTTATTCAGATGAGGGGTGATAGCAGAGATGCTCAATATAGGGACCTGATTTTTTTAAAAATGGAAAATATCTATGCCTCAAAAAGTTCTAAGGTAATCTTGCCATGTTTTGGTGCCCCCCCCCCCGTATCCTTCATTTTATTTTATTTTTCAAACAGACCACTAGAAAGACTCATTCAGTTAAAAAGAAAAAAAATGGGAAAAAATGCAGGAAGTAAGAAGTGTCGTTAGAGGAGGTACAGGGCACGCAAGGTCCAGAGATGAGTGTGTGCAGCCACCAAACTTTTGGAGATTGCCCACCCCAAGCTATATATACAGCACTCTCTTCTAAGCTGACAAAGCAATGACGTTCAAGTTGAAGAGTGTGCAAGCAGTTTGCAGCTATGCTGCTGGTGTGCCAGACAGATCTCAAGCTAGATGTAACACCAGCACAGCACAGCTGTAACTGCGTAGTCAAATAGCAGTAGAGTCAATAAAATATTAACAATGGAAGCCACAGACTGGCCTCAGGGAAGAACAGTGGCATGTTTCTTTTGTGAGGCATCAGAAAAGGTGTCACTGTTAAGTGTTCCATGTTACTGTAAATTAGGCAGCATGCAACTAAGGTACAGAAATAAAGTAGGGCAAGTTTCTTACAACTTAACATTTCCCCAGCATGAGGCACTGGTTAAAGGCAGTTTTGCAATAATTACTGAAGGTCCAGCTTTTGTACTTTCACAAGGGTCCATCCCTCTGTCTCATGTTTTAGCCCTGCAGTCTGAGGAAATGGAATGCTATTGACCTGGCTACCCTAGCCTGCATATATCCCTCTCCTACAGCAGTGGTTCCCAACCTTGGGTCCCCAGATGTTCTTGGACCAAGACTCCCAGAAGCCTTCACCACTAGCTGTGCTGGCCAGGATTTCTGGGAGTGGTAGTCCAAGAACATCTGGGGACCCAAGGTTGGGAACTGCTGTCCTAGAGGACAATGTGCAGTCTGGTGCTTACCACACCTACTTTTTATTTAACTATGCTGCCCATAGTTAAATAATAGTTAAAGAGTTTTGGCTTAGGGCCTGCACTATCTGCATGCAGCATTTTATGCTGTGATCAATTATCAGTCTATTGTTACAACTACAGCAACAGAGGGTGGCAGGAAACAGGAAGCTAGTGCTTCTCCCGAACGCCTGTTTTTCAATATGCTGCCAAGCACCAAGCTGTAGAATTCACTGATGCTTAAGAATGTTACTTCCCTAGAGGAAAGGTCTATGCTGTTTTCCAGCAGTCAGAAGAGATAAATCAGAAGTATGCTTATAGACAGGTGAGTTGTATAAATGCTGACCTAGAAATAAAATGGATTAAAAATGACCCTCTGGTACATTGGCTACTACACAAAGATAATGAATTTTTATTTTGCTTCTGCCTTTTAAATTTTTAATGTTAATGAACAAAGCTATTTTAAAAGGCTATTCACTAAAATACTAACTAGCCTGGTATTGTGACTTCTTTATGCGTCTGTGGTATAACTAACGCATTTAACCACAAGGGTGACTTTGTCACCTGTTTTGCCAGGCTTATCATTTTTGCTTTAAAATAGCCTTTGAAATGTAAACAACAAGCCTTTGAACAAATGGTTTTGAAAAGCTGTCTCATTTCATTGTTTTATCTGCATCTAACACTGTGTCACTTGGGATGCATTTTCAAACAGTATTTTTAACGTCTTTTTTTCTTTTATAATGCTATTTACTCTCTAAAAATGGCTCACAAACTTCTACTCCTCTGGTCACTCAGTGAATTCTAGATCAAACAAACTAAAAGTGAATAAAGGTGCTGTTATCGTCTCCAATCCATCAAATCCTGAGTTGTCTACATCATTAGCTTGATTCATTCTGGCTTGCTGGTTACTGCTATCAAGGAAGTTATTTTAGAACAAGTTGATTTCTAGTTCATATTGGAACAGTTTCATTTAGTTTTGCTATACGCACCTAAAATGGATCGCTGCCTGGTCAAGACATTTCTATTTAATGATAGATGCCTGGCACTGCTTTTTGGTATCAACATATTTATTTTTATTTTATGCAACAAGTTATCATTTTTGATCTGTAAGTGTCATGTGGTTGTGGATGTTTCAACCACTTCTCAAGTCATAAGGGATAGGAAGAAGTGACATCCAGTGGGTGATGAAAGTGGTCTCCCCTATCCACTGCAAAAAAAGGATTGGGGAGAAATAGCAAGACCCTTCTCATGTCCTGAGTGGCAGAGGAATAGAGGAGGCCCGCAGTGCCCAGATGTTCCACGAGTACAAAATGCCAGGGCATGCGAGACATCAAGTGTTGGAGAGGCTTTTTGAGATCAGAGGAGATGAGAAAAAAGTGGGCATTGTCTCGTAGCAGATGAAAGCAGCAGAATGTCTGGTCATAAATTGCATCAGCGCCAACAATGACCAAGTGCGTGTGTGAGAGAGAAATAGAAACATATTATTTAGCCCTTTGAGGGAAAGGATGGTATTCCGGTCCAAAAGAGCTGACATAACTACTATGGCAACAACAGGTTGCTTCCCTATAACTTTCAGTGGTCATCTGTCAAGTGACGCAATTGGAATTTATACTTGGTTAGAGCCAATCTTAGAACATTCTAGAGCTGAGATTTTGTTTTTCTTTTGAGGAAGCCTTTCTCACCTTCCTCATCACATATGACCAGCATGCTCCTTTCAGTTCCTCTCTGGCATACAAGAAAGTAGATGGGCACTACAGGGATGCGGGTGGGTTGTGTGATTCCACAGATGTCCACGTGAAGAACCACAGTTGCTGTGAAAGTATATATCATAGAAATCTATCACTGTGAAACAATTGTACATTTAGAAAAAGGGTCAGGATAGATGCAAAGTTCACCATCCTGAACTCCTTGAGTAAGATGAAGCAATTCAGAATCCTGAGTTTGTTGACTGGGTACCAGCTAAAGCTGTGCTTGGCAAGAGCAAATACAGCGGTGCCTCGCAAGACGGGTGCTCCATTTAACAACAAATCTGCATTATGACGAGGTTTTTGCGATTGCAAAAGCGATCGCAAAATGACATTTTGAATGGGGGAATTTTGCTGCGCGATGATCGGTTCCCTATTTCGCGAACTGATTTTCGCTTCCTGACAATCAAAACAGCTGATCGTCGGGTTTTCAAAATGGCCACCAGGTGCTCAAAATGGCTCCCCACCGTGTTTAGGAGCCATTTTTCGCTGCACAGGCACCCGCAAATGGCCGCCCCTATGGAGGATCTTCGCTGGACGGTGAGTTCTTAGCCGATTGGAACGCATTAACCCGGTTTTAATGTGTTTCAATGGCTTTTTAATTTTCGCTTTACGATGTTTTGTTCCACAGCGATTTTGCAGGAACGAATTAACGTCATAATGTGAGGCACCACTGTACAATGAGAAGAAGCTGGTAAGTCACTAATCGCAAGACACTGCTCCAGCTGCACCTTTTGCCAGCAACAGTGGTCTCTTCTTTGAGTATGTTCAATAGAAAGATCAACTTAAATGTTCCAGTGGGAGGGATATGTTTGAACTCTATTGTATATTCCCTCTGTACAAAGGAAATCACTCAGTGATTGAACACCAGGTGGTATAATGGTGGCTGAGGTGGCTGTCCCAGAACAATTGTTACACAAGGAACTAAGTGTAAAGAGGACTGTGAGGGCTGGTGAGAAGTACAGAAGGAAGACCAAGATTAGGCTTAGGATGAAACCTGGTGCTTTCATGCAAGCCTGGATGAGTAGGCAAGTTGTTACTCCAAAAAGATTACCATTTTCAGCAATGACATGGGCTTTGCAAAGGTGATCCACTGTGTGTTGTCTGTTGGAATTGAAAAATCTTTTTCTGCTGAAGGAAAGGTCTCCAATTCAAGTGCAGGTGTCTGTATTCATCTCAGTGAGCACTCCAGGAAGACGTTGGACAATCTAAGAGATATGGTGCTTAGATGATTTCTTGATTTCCTTGGCTACAAAGTATATGTTGTGTGGCAAGGGTCTGGGAAGGAAGATACTTCCACTAACCAAGGACATCAGGACAACCAATGTTCCTGATATAAAAACTGACACCAACACTGAATACAGTTTGGAGGAGGAATAATAGTCATATGGGCTTCAGCAATTAAAGGCCTCTTTCTGTATGTATTCTAAGCAGCTTCACTTGTTTTCAGGAAGGAGCTTCTCCCAATTGTGTAGGTGAGTCCTCAGAAGGTGAGTCCTCAGAAGGAGGGACGTGGTGGCACTGTGGGCTAAACCGCAGAAGCCTGTGCTGCAGTCGTAAGATCAAATCCACGCGACGGAGTGAGCTCCCGTCGCTCTGTCCCAGCTCCTCACCAACCTAGCAGTTCGAAAGCATGCAATAGGTACCACCTCAGTGGTGGTAAGGTAAAACGGTGTTCCCTAGTCACACTGGCCACGTGGCAACGGAAACTGTCTTCAGATAAATGCTGGTTCTACGGCTTGAAAACGGGATGAGCACCGCCCCCTAGAGTCAGACATGACTGGACTAAAAATGTTAAGGGGAACCTTTAGCTTTACCTTTTACAGAAGGTAAGGCAAGCATAAACTAGATGGCCCCCAACAGGGCAAAAAAAAGGCACTTAGGATGCCTGTCTGAATGGGCAATCTTACCACTGCCAACATTATGCTTATTAAACAGTGCCTTTGATGGCTAATGACCAAAGTTTGGGAGGGAACCTACTCTACAATTAGGTTGGGGGTTGCTGTTGTTGGTTTTGGTATGATGTGGGAACAAACCATCTAAGAGGATAGAAAGTTCTAAGAATATTTAGCCAAGGGAAAGCAGTTGTGGGGAGGCCATGCCTTTGGAAGCCACCCATGCAACAGACAGAAGTAACAGAGCTGTCCTGGAGCAGCTACACAGGCAGAGTGTGGGAGCAAAGCATGGTTCCCACCAAAATATATCCAGCTCTAGAATGTTCCAGTGTTGGCTTTGCACAAGGCCAAGATCCATAGGTGTGATTCACAGAGACCAGCAAAAAATGTGGTAGATGAAAAGGTGAGCAAACCTTAGGGCTACATACTCTTCCCTTAGATGCCAAAAAGAAATGCAGATGTACAATGAGTTTGAACATCTATCATTTAACACATACTTATCATTTCTCACTGACAGAAGAAAAGGGGTCTGTGGAAAGACTGTAGGTTTTACAAATAATTTTCTGACTAACTGTAGCCTTTAGCATAATTTCTTTTTTGCCTCAGAAAAGCATTTTTCCATTATGCCATAACGCATGTCAGAAATATTACAAGATTCCAATTGTTAATAAAAAACCAAGATGACAAACTTTTTAACTTCAACATGCATGCTACACTGAAACCTCTGGAGAAACTGGAATTGCATTAATATGGATCTTGAAACTGAAGAATAATTTTTGAGCATGTGTTTTTCTAAAAGGTTAACATTTCAACACATTATCAAGGCTTTTTAAAAACTTCACTGTACTGCAGATGGTAATGACTCTTAATAAAGAAAATACATTTCAAATTATGGCAACCTTTCTGCAAAGGAGTGCCAAGACAAAAGATATCCCTTCTTTCTGTAAAATGTAAATGAAAAACTGCATTAATTTTACATTTTATAGATGTTAACTTGCAATAGAAACACAAGATTTTAAGCAAGAGTTTAATATGTTCTAACCACCCTTGTGTACGTGGTCAATTAAAGCAATCAACACTCCTTATTAATGCCTCTTGTCAGCATTATTCTTCATAACACATGGAACTGGCACTATACTTTGTGTGTTTGTACCAATATTAAATACCTTGGGAATATTTTCTTCTTATAGGCTCATAGATAAATATATTTGCTTTCCTGGAGGTGATAATACTAGAGCAATAATAAATAAATGTGTTCAATAATGTACACCCTAATGCCAAAAGAAATGTGAGGAACATCTGCACTGAAACTTTAAAGGTTGGCTGCGTTACTGCAATAATTTCTAAATACATTTCTCCTGCATAAAACCAAAACTTATGGCTTAATAAATTCTATCCTACTACACTAAATCATATTAAGACCTACTCAGTCCATATTGTTCCCTGCCATAAGAAGCACAGGTGGTAGACTTATATTGGATTAGATCATTGGTCCACGTAGCCCAATAGTGTTAACTTGGACAGGCAGTAATGGTTTTCAAGAGTTTTAGTCAGAATTCATCCCTAGACCTACATGGTATTCCCTGCTATCAAAGTATTAACCCTATTTCCCAAAATCAAATAACATTGGTTGGGTTCAAGATGGGATGGGTGATATTCTACTATAGATATATGTTTACTTGAAGAAACAGAACAATGAATATACTCATTCTTTCCAACCAATGCTTGCCTTCCTAGTTCTTATTAACTTTGCCACAAGTGATGTTTTACCTTTGGTGGTGACTGCTGTGGTTTATTGGTGTTGGATGAATGCTGTTGTCGCAGAGCTCGAGGAATAAACTCAGGAGCCAGTGGATTCAGTACATAGGTTTTCTTTAATTCTAGAGCTTCCAACTGAGCTTTGATCTGATCAAACGTGATACCGTGAAGACTATCATTATCATGACACAGGGCAATAAATCTTTCCCAAAATTTCCTAAAGAAGCCAAAATAAAAACAATAGAAAGTTGTTCCATTTCTCCAATTGTGCCTTGAATCCAGTAGTGTGTTTGTCTCCACAAGTCCTTATCGTAAGATTATTTGAATATAGTACTGAATATTTCTAAAACAATTTCACATCAACAACCAAACTGGAAAATTAGAGTTCCATACAACGTAATAACACTGCCATCAACTTAGTGCCAGAAGTCTAGTAGAGCCCATGTTTTTGTTTTTAAAAAATGCCCCAAGCAGATTCTTCACGTAACATACTTATATTAGAGCTGTATGAACAATGAATACAGCTTGCCAACTGTGCTTTGCAATACATGCTCCAAATTTTAAGATTCATCTGCCAAGCAGTACTGTCCAATCTGGCTCTGAAGTACTTTTTTAAAAAAACTCTAATATTCTACAGACATAGTCCACAAAATATTCAACAGCAATTGCAAAAGATTCTTGACTTGTTTTGATAGTTATCACAGCATTTACAGAAATCAAATACCCCCCCACACACATATTTATTTTACCAAATGAAATGTCATCTCCTTTATATTCTGGTAACCCAGTTTAGATCTTTTAAAAGTCTTCATGCCTTTTGAACTGAACATGATCAAAAATTCACAGACAAAAAAGTGTCATGTTAAAAACAACATTTACAATCTGTGACAGACAAATAGTTTAAACCTGGCTCCCACTTAAAAGACTTCTTAAATAGAAGCACAATTATACTGAATTGTTTATTTAGGAAAAATAAAATCAGATGCATTCTGAATTGAATCTGCTTATGGCGGAAACTGGATAATACCATGTTTCCCCAAAAATAAGAAAGGGTCTTATATTAATTTTTCCTCAAAAAAAATGCATTAGGGTTTATTTTCAGGGGATTTTTTTTCATGTACAACAATCTACATTTATTCAAATACAATCATGTCATCTTTTTCTGGTTGCTGTACAATGGTGAAGAGTGGGGTTTCACTTAACATGGGCTTATTTTTGGGGTGGGGCTTATATTACAAGCCTCCTGAAAAATCATACTAGGGCTTATTTTCAGGTTAGGTCTTATTTTTGGGGAAGCATCAATTGATGGAAAACATTTCTTTATGACCCAATTTATTTATATAGATTTGGAATCAAATCAAATCAAATATCTAACTCGTACTCCACATGGAAGATCTTGTACAAGGAAACTGGCCTGAGATACCACTAAATTCTCCATATAGTTCCCCCTTCTCACTCACATTTTACTGGCCATATTTTGTATCTATTTAATGTAAGTAGATGATGAAGATGATGATGATAATTTTTAATTTCTATTGCTACTAAACTCTTAATCTATTTTAAAGCATAAAAGATAAACATGCAAAAACATAAGAAACAATACACAAAGACATATAAATATTACCAAGCCTATTGCTGACATCAAGTAAACAGGAAAAGGCTCTCTGGTTGCTGAGTCTCTCACACAGAAAACACCCACACTTAACCATTCACACTCTCACAAGCAACAAACAATCCTAGTCCTCTTTCTCACTAAAGGGCCATAGTTATGTAACACCAAAACAAAGATAAAGAAACTCAAATTACATTTTTAAAAAATACAGTCTTTTGCTTTGGCTCATTAATGGTAGCCAGCAACAGTTCCTGAAGCTGTTTTGTCCCAAGGAAACAAGTCTGGTTTCTGGTGTGAAATAAAGTATGGCCAGCAGGCTTTTCTCTGTATGTTATGGACAGATGCACACCAGGAAATACTAGGGTTTTACTTTGGCTACAGTTTCACAAAACAGTAGGTGTGCATGCACACCTTCTAGGTTATCAATAACCTTGACAACCTATTCGTTTTTTTCTTCCTTTTAACTCCACGGCCTGGTTTGGACAACCACATCTCAGTTTATTTAACGGTGAAGCAAAGAAACCTATTGCTCTCTCTCACACACAACCCTTCATGAAAGCCATGAACAGAACCCTTAAATATCTACTCAACCTTAGTCTGAATAGGTATCACAGTGTGAACCTAGCTACTTGTGTACAAGCAGCATCTGTTACGTACAGCCGGATCATTCCTATCTGCAATTGGACCACTTAAACTATGAACCCAAGGATTGTTGTGTTTGTAATGCGATGCTCAATGAATTTTGGCAGGAGCTGGCTTGTCTTTCCCTCAATACATTAAAGAAAGCACCCAGGGTGTGGTACACAGTCATCTTGTTTGTTGATTGAAACATAGGACAGAGCGAGCTAGCTCTACTGCCTTCAGACATGAGGGGAAATAAATGGTGGACAAATCACACGTGATAAACATTCTTTGCACAGGAAAAAAAGCAAGTGAAAAGTTGGCTAGCCAAGAAAAAATTCTCTGCCCTAATCTTTAATGTGCAGGAAAGTTTTCCTTAAGGAACCATTAAATATAAAATTTCTACCCCATCTTTAAATTACAGGGAAAGAATTCATTATATAAATCTACTACAGGAGTACATCAGGCTGATTTTTCACTTCCTGGAGCTAATAAAATATGATCGGCAGAATGCCAATCAGCACTATCATGCTGCACTCTTCAGGTGCACCCTGAAATCAAAGAAGGGAACTCTTTCATTAGCAACAAGCTTCTGCCACTGGTATGGTCACTTTTGATGCAGAGCCAGAGCGACACAACAGGATACTGGCCAACATGTTGCTGTTGGATTTCTTCTTGCCAGATATCGACACATTCACAGTTTAGATTTATATTGTTAAAGCATAATTTAATTGCACCTGAGAGAACAAGAGATGACAAGAATTCAAATATTAAGACCAGATCTTCCGTTTCAGGCAATGTAATGCACAGGAACCGAAACCATTTCTGTTTCTTCTAAGTTATCTTAAGATAACTGGGGAAGTCAGCAGGCAACAAGTCACATAAGGTCACTATCCTGACTATAGTCCAAGTATCCATTATTAAATAAACAGGAAAATTAACATCAGAGTTATTTATGGTATACCACAGTTGCTGTACCTGCATCTTCCGATAGAACATAAAGCAATAGGATCTCCCACCACAGCTACGAGGGACTGTGCTCTTGTAATGGCTGTGTTGAGAAGCTTGTAATTGGACAGGAAACCATAATCCAAATCTTCTGTTGAATCTTCTAATAAATGTTCTTTCCGTTTTATTGGTGTTTGCTTGTGTTTGCATGTATGCCGTGTCCGTACAGTACTGAGAAACAACACACGGAACTGCTTTCCTGGGTGCAGGGAGAAAATGTTTAAAGGTAGTTTTAGCCTGTACAGTTACTGTTCGCTTATACAAGTATGTGCAAACATAGTAAGAGTCTGTTTTGAAAATGTGTCGGAAACAGCAAGACTTTTTAAGGTTAAAGTCTTTACCATTTACAGTACTTTACAAGACTGATCTTGCTTTAGCTTTTACACCTGTAAGGGGACAAGCATCTACAACTATCAGAACCCCCATGAGTATGGTATGGTGAAAACAATTTTCGCATCAATCAATCAATCAATCAATCAATGCTCCAAAATGATCCATAAACAGAAGACAACTGCTGACCAAAGGATGTCATCTCATGAAAAACTAAATGGATAAAGCCAGCAGGGGCGGCTGAGGGGACTGACGCCGAGGGAGGCCCGGAAGGAGAAAACAAGAAACC